CCTGCTTCTCTCTCTCTCCCACTCCCCCTGCTTGTGTTCCCTCTCTCGCTGTGTCTCTCTCTGTCAAATAAATAAATAAAATCTTTAAAAACAAAAAACAAAAAAAACCCAACTGTGCTTCACTACGGTGCGCTGACCTGGACCATGTTTATAGTGAAATGGGTCCAGCCTCTGATGGACCTAACTATTCTCAACTACAAGGCAACAACTACACTACTTCCCTTTGGCTGTTCAGCTCCAAGTAACGCACACACTTCTACGTATGGTCACTCAGATTGAAACCCCACTCCCACCACACCTCTCCTAGCTGACTGATACCTCTCACCACACATGCACACATTTCTTATGAACCTGGTTCCCCGGAGCCAATGTCAATGACTCATCCCTACTTGCAGGCCCCAAGTATCACGTACCTTCACACCCCGAGGTCCAGGATAGCCCGGGGGTCCTGCTGACCCTTGTGGACCCTGAGATGGAGATAAGATCAGTGCCATCCTGTTCTACCCCTACCCCCACTGTGTTCCCAGTGCCCTCAACTCTCTCCTCATGAGCCCTGCCTATCAACCCTCATCCCCAACCCAGTCTCTCCTGAGGGCACTCACCTGGGCCCCTTTCTCTCCCGTGGGGCCCTCATGGCCTGGGTGACCCTGGGGAAAGGAGTTGTCAGAGACCAAGATTTGCCATCCAAATTCCCAAGCCTCCCCCTTCTCCTTCCTCCTTTTGCCCGAACCCAGTTCTCACCAGAGGGCCATCAGATCCTGGAATGCCTGGAATTCCTGGGTTTCCAGGGGGACCCTGAAAGAAGATGAACAGTAGGGGGAGACGGGTGGGTCTCGGAGTCTGGCATCCCACCAGGAACAGCCTTACTCAGACCTGCAGCTACTCAAGGTCACAGAACAAGCATATCCCACAGGCTAGGAAATCTCTCCCTAGCTTTGCCCAGACTTGCTGTGTGATCCTGGGCAAGCCTCCTTCCCTCTCTGAGCCCCAGAAATCCTCCATCTCTGGGAGAGTTGAGACAAGGGAGGTAAAAACAGTGTTGGGGGGGAACTCCCCAGCCACATCCTTTTCTTCAGAAGTGCCTCTGTCTTCATCTGATGAGAGGTGGGCCCAGGCAGGCATGAGGTGACCCCCTATGTTCTACAAATAGTGGATAGGTCCAGAAGTGGGCACCTTGGACCAACTAAGCCAATCAGATTTTCTTCTGAAATTTTGAGGTAAGCGACACCTCACTTCATAGAAACTATAATCAGATGGATTTGGGTAAAGAAACTATAAGGTCAAGAGGAGCTAGGGGCTGAAATTGTGATTAAAGCAGCACAAAACCGTGTAGAAATGGAACTTGGGGGTGAAGACAGACTAAGATATGTGCAGCAAGAAGCCTGTTTGCTGGGGGAGATAGAACAGATGTGCACAGGAATAAAGATGACACCACAGGGCCCCAGAGAAAGGGCTTTCCTGGCCCATGGGTCTTGCTAATATTTGCAATGACTGGCATCTGTGGGTTCCCCTAAATCCAGATAATATGTGATCTAGCTTTGGTGGATTTGTGTTTCTCCCAACCAACCCTTCCCTAACAATGATATTTTTTTAAAACTCTGGGCTTGTTTAAGGAATGTTGCAATTTATCATTACCCAGGGCTAATAAAAGGGTCCTGGTGGGAAGCTTTTCCTGCAGATAGAGCTGAAGGAAGAAGACGGGAGAGGGTGGTGGTAGGTGGGGCTGTCACTTACCTTCTCCCCAGGAGTGCCAATGGGTCCCTGAGGGCCAGGGAGTCCCTGGAAACATAAAAAAGAAGGTAAAGGTGGGGTGCCTGGCTGGCTCAGTTGGCTAGGCAACCGACTCTTGATTTCAGCTCAGGTCATGCTCTCAGGGTTGTGGGATTGAGTCCCGCATCAGGCTCCACGCTGAGCATGGAGCCTACTTAAGATTTTTTTCTCTCTCTCTTCCTCTGCCCCTTCTCTGCTTGCTCTCTCTCTCTTTAAAAAAAGGGGTGAAGAAAGGCACGAGAAATGGGTAGTGAGCTGGGAAGTGGAAAGGCTGGGAGTTGTCTCTGACCTTGGCTGACTACTATTGCCCCCCAATTATTGAAAATGATAGCTCAAACCTGGGACCCGGGATTTCCCTGCTGTCCTGGAGGGCCTGGTTCTCCTGGAGGACCCTGGGGAGAAAGTGGGGGTGCTGTGAAGCTGAAAGGGATCATGGTGTTGAAGTGTCAGTGAAGTTGAAATAGGAGTCATGGGAGTGGACAGGGATATGGATGGATGACCACGGAATCAGGACATCAGAAAGCATTAGGGGACAGAAGGCAGAACACGTACCACATTTCCTTTGGCTCCTGGAGCACCATCAATTCCAACTACACCCTGGGGGGAGGAGAGGGTGTGAGACCCGGGCAGATACCACACAGGAGCCTGAGTCTGAGACACTGAGAGGCACAGGTGGAAAGATGAGTGGGCAGAGAAACCAGGTAACAGAAATGGACATGCAGAGGGGACAGAGGTGGGAAAAGGACAAGCAGGGATGTGGACAGAAAGTGACATTCTCACCGGCCGTCCCAGGGGACCAGGGGAGCCTCTAGGGCCGATCAGTCCTCGGGGGCCCTGCAAGGAGGTAGGACCATTATTCCAGCATCGCTGCTCTGAGGCCCCATGAATCATGACTCCCTCCCCTGTGCCAGGAGCAAAGGATCCAGAGGTCCCTAATACTCACTGGCTCCCCAGCCTGGCCAGTGGGCCCCGGAGGTCCTTCGGCTCCCTGTGGGAAAGCATTCATCACTTGGTGACGGGGGAGGAGGAAAAACACTCAGAAAACCACCTTCCCTCATCTGGGCAGACTCTTCCAGAGGATCCGAGAGTCAGAGCTTGAGGCAGTAACCAACAGACTGAGCACATGTGATTCAGTCCAGGCCCCTGACCCCAATCCTGGGCCTGCAATCCTGAGTCTCACCTACTAACTCTGGTACTAGCCCCCAGCTCTCAATCTATCTTTTGGAGCCCCACCGAGGCTCCTGACCCTCGCCTCTCATCCTGTCCCCTGAATACTCTATTGCTCTCTCATTCTGGCTTTCTAACTTCTAAACCATTCTCTCTTCCAAACTTACCTTCTTACCATCCTCTCCTGGGGGACCAGGTTGCCCCACATGGCCAAAGTCACCCTGGAGTTGGGAATAGAGGGGAGTTCAGAGTGGAAATGTGGGGATAGAGACCAGCCCCACAGGAAAGGAAATGAGGCACAAGGGATCAGAGCTCACACACAGGGATGGAGGCTCCAGTACTGGGGGTGGAGAGGGTGCCATGAATATCAGGAAGCTTGCTATGGGGGAGGGGCCTCATACACTCACCCTTTGCCCTTTCTCTCCAGGTAGCCCTGGCAAGCCATCAAAACCCCGATCACCCTGCACAAAGAGACACCACCTGAGCCCTGAGTCCTTGACCTGATGGTCCCTCCAAGTCCCAATCCTGACCTTATCACCCACCTTAGGTCCTGTGTCTCCTGGGAGGCCCCGAGCCCCATCTGCTCCAGAGCGGCCCTATCAGGGAGGTGACAGCGTCAAGATACCTATTACTATTTGTTGAGTACTTTCCTCATGCAGAATCCTGGGGGATTCTCTGCGTACCAGTTTAACCTCCCAAATACATCTCAAAGCTGTCCATTATTCTTTATCTCTAGGCCCTTTGTTCTAGTCCATGTCACCACCATCATAAAAACTAAAATCTCCATTAAATGTCTAGCTCTGTGTTCCTCGTTGCATTTAAAACTGTCTGGAATTATCTTGTTCATCATCTCCCTCAGTGCACCAGTCTTTTCTTCTGCACGTGCTGTTCCCTCTACTTAGAATACCCTTCCTCTCCTGTTTACCTGGTTATACCTCAGATCTCAGTTCAAGCATCATTCCGTCTAGAAAATCCTCCTTGACTCTGTGACCTGGCCAGATACCTTTGTGACACACTCAGTAGATCTGCCATTCTCTGTCCTCAGTGCCCTTATCCCACCAATGACACCAGCAGATCCTGGGGGCATGGAGCCAAGGCTCATGTTGGGTGTTGAGGGATGGATGAGGGATGACCTAAAGACCTACAAGTTACTCACCATCTTTCCCTCCCGGCCAGGGGGCCCAAGAGGTCCCTGAAGGCCTCGGGGACCCTAGAAGAGAAAAAAAAAAAAAAAAGGAGAATAAGAAGGAGGAAGAACGACTTATTTTAAATCATCATCTAGGAAGGGCAGTAATTGCAAAGGTATCCTTAGCCCCTTCGTCATTGTCCTCAAATAGCACTTTATCCTGTGGCTCTGGGAGAAGACCCTTCCCAACCAATCCTGTCCCCATCCCCACCAATCTCACCTGTGGCCCCATTTCTCCCATCTCTCCTTTCTGACCCGGATACCCAGGGAGACCCTTGGAGGAAGAGAGATGAGGTAATGGAGTTAGAGGGAGGTTCCCCCCTCCACTGAGGTATCCCCCCTCCTCCATCCAGACTCCTTACTCACCACAGGGCCTGGGCGCCCAGTGAGCCCTACTGGGCCAGGGGGACCTTTCATAGACAGCTGGAAAGATGGAGGGGAACAGAACTTCAGGTCTCGCAAAAACCCCAACACCCTCCCAAAAGGCATCTTCAGGAGACAAATATCCACCTGCCTCCTGACTAGCCTTCATTATCCCCCACCTCTGTCACTCTCTCAATGTCCTCCCATTACCCCCTGTTGGTCCCTGATTACCCTCTACTCACCTGAGTCTGTTGCAGTACTGCCTGAGCCTGGGCTTGCTGGAAGGAGACTGGGGGTCCTTTGAGGGAGCTGCTTACAAACTGGAACTAGGGGGCAGCTAGTCATGAGGGGAGCCCAAGGAGAGGCCCCCTCCTGGGTCAGGACTAAACCCCCAAGGATGTGCCACCCTATCTCCCTCTTACCGGCATCATGATCACAGTGCCTGGTAGACCCCGGATCCCATCGATGCCAGGGATTCCTGGGAGGCCAGCAGGACCCTGAGAGAGGGAGAGACAGAAGTGGATGGAGGCAGAGAGATGGACAGACAGAGAGATGAGAGAGGTGGAGGGGGAGAGGGGAGAGAGACAGAGAAAGATGGAGGCAGGGAGAGCAAGAAAGAGAGTAGGCAAGAGAAAGACAGAGGGAGGGAGAGTCATAAAAAGTGGCAGGGATGGAGAGACAGAGAAGATAGAGGTAGTGAGATGGAGAGAAAGGGGCAGAGAAAGACAAAGACAGGGAGAGGAGAGAAAGATGGGGAGACAGAGGGATGGAGGCAGGGGAGAGACAGAGACATAGGGAAAAAGACAGAGATGAAAGACACTCAGGGATAGAGACAAATGGAAGAGAAAAGCAGGGGAAGGCCCCCAGAGAAAGAAGAGGGGTAACAATTCACAGATGGGGAGAGAGATGAGCAAGTGAGGTCAATGCCAGCTTCAGCATGATGCCCTCAGTGCCTGCGTCTCAGGTCCCTGTTCAGACATACAAGTTCCCAATTTCAGCTTCACAGCCTGAAACCTCACTCCCCCAGGATATAACCCAGAAGGAATTTCTTACCGGTAGACCAGGGTCTCCAGGGAATCCTGGGGGGCCAGGAGGACCTGAGGGGCCAACCACCCCCTGTTGGGGACAGAGGAACAAAAATCATAAGAAGTGCAAAGCTTGAGCCAAGCCAACTTCTAACCCACCACTGACCCTGACCCCATGCACACCTCCTTACCCAACACTGAGCCATCCCTGGCCCCTCAATACTATACTGACCCACATCAACTCCCCCCCCACTTTACATCCCAACCCCTATTTTGACTCATCCTGTAAGCTTCAAACATGCAATAATCTTTTAATGATACAGCAACATTATTCCCCAACCCCCACCACAGGGACTCAAACACCCCAACTAGAAGAGAAAGGGGGGGGATGCAGCCATGACTCACTCGAGGTCCTGGGGCTCCTGGAGGTCCCTCAAACTGCTGTCCCTGAGGGAGAAATGAGTGTGACCCCCATCCTAGCCCAGACCCCTCCACCTCCTCCTAGTCCCAAATCCCTCACCTGTTCAATCACTGCTGGTTCTCCTTTTGCTCCCTTCTCTCCAGCACCCTGGGGCAGGGGAATGAAGAGAAAAGAGATGTGAGTCCTGGCCATGGTCAAGGAGGAGAGTGTGGACTTTGGAGCATGCTGTAGGGTCCTAATCCTGGAGCTGCCTCTCACTAGTTCAGTGATGGGGAGCAATTTATTCAACTCCTATGGCCTACCTGCAGAATCAGTAGGTGAATGATAATTGTATATACCCCATGGGAAGAAGAATAAATTAAAACAATGGTTAGTACATAACAAGCACTCAGGGTAAGTTGGCTATTATTATTCCCCTCCTCTCCTGTCCAACACCAAGGCTAGAACCTGGGCTCCTTCCCTGTCCGCACTATTTTCCTAAGCAATCTTATCCAACCCCTTGGCTAAAGGCAGCATCACTCTGCTGTTGATTTCCAAGTCTTTATCTCCAGCTTAGACCATGTCCCTAGAACTCCAGAATCTTCTAACCAATCACCCACTTGACATCTCCATTTGGATGCCAAGCAGGGGTTGCCAATTTAGCACATCCAAAATGAGATCCTTGAGACCTCCCACCTGCTCTTCCTTTAGGCTTCCCCATTTTACTCAAAGGTGTCACCATGCATCTACCAAGCCATCCTTGCATCTTTCTCCATCTCCAGTAGCAAGACCAAAATGGAGCATGGTCCAAATCTGTCCACTTCTCTCTATCCCCACTGCCACAACCCTCATCTAGGTCACCAGGCTGTTGTCACACGGACTACTGGTTTCCCTGCTGCCTCTCTGTCTCCCCCTACAGTCCATATGCTGTTCAGCAGCCAGAAGGAGCTTTTAAAGTTCCAAATCAGATCACGCTCCATTCCAAGTGGCTTCTCACCATGCTTGGACTAAAAGCCAAACACACCATCCTACCCACAGAGCCATCCATTAGCACAGTTCCTGTCACATTAGAATCGTGCTAATATTTGTTGACTAAAGTGGGGTGGTGGGAAGGCATTCTAGGCAAGATAAAAAGAAGGCAAAAGAGAAAATGTGGTATGCGGCTCCAGGCAGGAGTCCCTGCCACCCCCATCCCCCCACAACCCAAATCCTCAGACTCACAGGAAAGATCTGGAACTGAGTCTGCGATGGCAGTTCTGCTGCCCGGAAGTCAGGGCCCATGGTGGGGCCACCTCCTTCTTTGTCCTCTTCGGCTAACTTAGTCTCCAGGGTCCTTAGTTCGGGTCCATTGTCAGGGTCCAGGCCCCCCTGAGGACATTGGGACAGACCAAAGTTTGCCCCTGGGCCTCCTCATTGTCTGCCACCACCACTGCCCCAGGACTTTCCTTTCCAGCCCCATCCACTTCCCACTGACCTCTAGCATGGTGACATTGTGGCCCGTGGTCACAGTGGTGGTAATGACCAAAGGTGTGGGAGTCGGAGACAGAGTTGAAGCTGGTGTCTCTGTTTTGGGGATGTCGGTGGAGGTCTGCAACAGGGACAGGAGTATCAGGTCTGGGGTCAGTCCAATAAAGACAAAAAGAGGAGATAGGCTCTGCCCCCCAGGAGTGCCTAGTCTGGGAAGGGTAACAAAGGAGGATTCCCAAAAAACACCAGAGGGGAGTTAGGTAGGGGGCTAGCCAGTGGAGGCAAATGTGTGCTGACTAGATCAGAACAGCCAGCAGGGGGAGGCCTCCTATGTGGAGGAGGAACAAAGCTGGGCCAGGTCTGGGAGACCTGGAAGGCAGAGTGGGACTGGCTCCAGAGCCCAGTGATCAGAGTCAAGGTCCAGTACTCAGGGCCAGACTCCTGGAAGCCAATCCTATGTGTCCTCTCCCAAGGCAGAGCTCAGTGGTCAGCCAGCCAGGCCACAGAGAGGCTTGGAGAGCTGCAGAGGAATTTGGTCAAGGGCACAAAGACGGTGGTAGAGGCCCAGGTGAGAGGCTGGGGCTGAGGAAGGGGTTGGAGAAGCGTTCTTTTTCTGGGTCTGAGTGATCTTTTCTTTATCTCCACTGATGCTGAGAACAGATGTAGTGCAACCAATGACTCTCCCCCAACCAGGGACCTCAGCCAATGGCCCACACCAAGGATGCCTACCCAGTGACCCACCAGCTAATGATCCCCTATTAATGGCCTCCAGTTATTCCTACGACCCATTAACTCCAGTAACTCCAATTAATGACCCCCATCAATAACCCCTGACTAATGATCCCTACTAAGGGACTTAACCAATGACCCCTCCACTAATAACTCACATCATTGGCCTCACAGCAGTTATCCCCATAACCAGTAACCCATCAGTGGTCCCCCAAGCAATGGCTCCAACCAGTTATTCTCCCAACCAGTGACCTCCCCAACTAATGACCCCAATCAGTGACCTCCTCCACAATAAGCACTAGCTAGTGGCCCCTCAACTAATAAGCCCCACCAGTGACCCCTTAATCAATTATTCCCCTAACCAGTGATCCTCTAACAATGAACACCCATGAGTGAGCTCAACTATTGCTCCCTAACCAATGACCCCCAAACAGTAATTTCACTAACCAATGACCCATCAATGACTTCCCAACTAATAACCTATCAGGGATTCCCAAACCAATTATCTCATCCATGACCCCTTGAAAGTCATTCCTTCAACTGGTGATTCCAGTTGGCGACCCCACTAATGCCTTTTAATCAGTGGTCCCCCACTGATGACCTACCTTCCCAACTGATGATCCCCAGCAATGACCTCTCACCATTAACCCTAAACCAGTGATACCAGTAACACCAACAGTGGTCTCTATCATGACTTCCAACAATGATCTCCACCTAGGAACCTCCCAAACATGGACCTCAATCAATATCTCCTTATAGTGACCCCCCAACCAGCAATCTCTTTCAGGGAAGCCAAAGAATGCCCCCAAATTAGACTCCCCCAATGAATAACCCTCACCAATGACCCCAACGAGTCAACCTCAAACTGACACTCTAACTAATGAAACCATTATTCACCCCAGCTAATGGCTGTCCTTAGTAGCCCTCATCAAGAACCCTCTGATAATAAGGTACTCATCTGGGTGTGCCCCCTTCCTCCAGCCCCTTAAAACTGGATGTTGGGGGGCAGAGATGGGAAAACTCATAAGACAGTGCCAGCCGCTCCCCACCCCCCCACACACACACACATAGTTATCAGTCAGCTGAGAAAAGTCAAAGGTCAGGGATTGGAGACCAAAGGCAGAGAGCTTGGATGAGGTGCCAGCAATCAGTGGGAATCAGAGACCAGAGGTCAGGCAAAGAGCAGAGGTGAGTGGTCATAGATCCCTTACCTGGTTCTCCAGGGAGCCAGGAGGTGGACTTGGGGTCCAAATTTCCTTGTTCTTCTTCTTCCTCCCCTTCCCCTTACGACCTCGCCCTTTTTTCTTCCCTTTTCCCTTCCCCTTCCGTCGAGGGGGAGGAGTTTCTGGCTCACCCTGGGGCACCTGGGAAGAGGACCTCCATTAGGTCCAGAGCCCCTCAATGGAGGCCCCATTACTCAGTCATCTGGGACCATGCTGGCACATGGCCCATTGGTCCTGTTTTGAAGCCAGGGCTCACTCAGCCCTGTGACCTAAGGTCAATCATATGATCTGGGGCTAGGAATCACTCAGTTATATGACCTAGGTCAAGGTCACTCATGCCTAGGATCTTTTTGAGGGCAGGAGTCACTCTGTCCCACAGATAAGGGTCAGAATTCACTCATTCCTGAGACCTGGAGCCAGAGATGACTCAGCCTGTGACCTCAGGACAAGTCCCTCACTCACCCCTGTGGTTATAGGGTCCAGGTTGTCACAGCCGGGAAGGTATCGCTCACAGGCCTGGAAGGCAGCCTGAGGATCTGGGCTTATCAGCAACTCCTGAATATCTCCCTGGGGAGAGAATGGGGGTCAGGGAAGGGAGCTACAGACTGACTCTGACACCCCATCGCAAGCACCAAGGCTCCCTCAACCCAGAGCACCCTAAGTATAAGGAGGGGATGGCCCCACCACAGCCCCAGCAATCCCTATGCCCCTCAAAATTGAGAGGAGGAAGATTCTATCATGGCCACACCAAATCACAACCACAAACCATACCCCACAACATCTGTCCCATCAGGAGGCACATTTATTCCTTTGCTCTCAGGCACATGGTGACACCTAAAACGTGCCAGGTGCCCTTCCAGGCTTTGGGGATAAGGAGTGGAACAAGATGGATGTGGTCCCTGGCCCACTGGAGGGGACACATATCACAACCACACACAGCACAGTCACCACACCAAAAACACATCTGTCACCAGCCACACAATGCCATGCCTTGCCAGCACCCAACATCACAACCACCTGCACACGGTTACACATCATAACAACCAGTGGAGTCCTGTGTCACCAGCTTATTCTCCCACCACAAGTCAAGTATGTGCCATCATGCATTATCGTTTTGTGTCTCTACAATCTCACACACCATGAAGATGCACAGTGATGCATGCTGCTCCCTCTTCTCAGCTTCCTGGCACAAGGTTGAAGCTGGACAACTCCCTTTTCCTATCTCTTCTCCACATTCAGGCTGTGGACAAAACTCCCTCCCATTCTGTCTCGGTTTCCCCTATCCCTGAACCCCTACCTCAAAAGTCTCCTCCCCGAGGTCCTGGGTCCCCAACACAGTGAGTCCAGCTGTGCTAATGAATCGAGGCCCATGGCCCAGCGTGGGGGGCTGAGGCTCACAGTCAGCCACCAGAGTCACCATCCTGCCATCCACACTGACTGCCACACGGTGCCACCTGCAAGTGGACAGTCTCAGTGGGGGGTGCTTCTCACCCCACTTCGCTCTAGACCCCAACTTTCCCTATACTCACCTGCCATCCATGAGGTTGACTTGCTGGGGGAGGGGGCTGAAGGAGTCACCTAGGAGGCCCAGAGCTGGCCCCAGAGCCAGGCCCAGCTGCCGAGTACCACCCTCATCATAAATGGATAGAAGGACAGACTGGTTGGCTGGCTGGCCCCGCAGAGTGATCAGCATGGAAAAGTTCTCAGGGAAGTGCCCATCTAAAGGGGCAGAGGGAAAGGGGCAGCTTAGATGGCTTAGCAGTGACCCATGCTCCCAGAATGACCCCCTCCTACCCCTTCTGCACTGACTCACCTGGAAAGAGCTCCCACGTGGGGATGCCAAGTGTGCTGGCCTTGCCAACCCTGAATGCCCGGTCACCCTCTGGGGCCCTCTGGGGGCAGAGGCCAGGCCCCTCAAGCACCCCAGCCTGGCCCCCTTGCACGCCCAGGGCCTTCAGCACATCCACAGGGCCTGCTGTAGAGAGAAGCCAGGGTGCAGGGCAGTTAAAACAAACCCAGGACTCCAAGTTAGTAGCTCAGATTTGGGGAATTCGGCCTCCTGCTGCGTTTGTGGGTCAGGGAGAAGGAGCAGGCCTGGGACCTGCACCCACCTCACTACCCCACAGCTGTTCCAGCTTCATCGGCCTGTTGACTCCTGTTTTGTTTTGTGTGTTTTTTTTTCTCCCCTTGTTTTTTTGGTGAGGAAAAAAAAGCTGACCTACTTCTGGGATGAATCAAGGCTTCCTGGCCTGAGCCCCAGAGCCAGACTGTCCCCTTCTCCGTACTCCCCCGCACTGACTCCCTGGGGCTGCTTCCCCGGCCTGAAGCCCCCTGCCAGGGGAAACCCGCTTGGAGAGGAGGGGCTCCTTGTGTGTGTGTTTTTCCTCTACCGCTTCCCTCTGACCTCCTCCTTTGACCACCACTTCCTCTGAACTCCTCCTCCTTGACCATCATCACCCATGATCTGCTCCCTTTCTCCACTACTTCTCCTAACGTCTTCCTTCTGACCTCCTCCTTGATCACCATCACCCATGACCTCCTCCCTCTGCCTATCCCAGTCATCTCTATCTGACCTGTGACCTCCCCATTTTATCACCCTCTCTGACCTCCTCCTTACGACCACCTCTCTCTAATAACCTCCTGACCTCCTCCCTGTGACCCTATCCCTCTCATGCCAGGAAAGGAAGGAACTGGTCTGGCCCAACCAGATCCGAATCCAGGCCATCCTACCAGCCCCACCCCATACAGCAGGCCAGTGCTAAGTGGAACCACATGGCTTGGGCAGGGGAGGGTGGGGGCTTCCCCTGGGCCCAAAGCCCCTGCCTGCTCTCCCCTTCCCCCAGCAGACTGTCCCACTGACCCCCTGACCCAGCCTCTTGGCAGGAGCCAGTTCTGTCAAATTTGCCTATGACCTCACCCTGGGGGCGGTTCTGCTGACCTCACCAGTGGGAGTCAGGGTAGGGGGCCAGACCTGGGGGAGATAGGGGCTTGGATGAGGGACCCCCATCCAGCTCCTCCTGGGTCAGATCCTTCATTCTCCAAACCTTACAGACCCCTATTCCAGCCTCAGCTCATTCTTGCCCTCAACTCCTGTTCTTTCTTTCTTCTCTCCCCCTCCCTGCCCTCTCTCTCTGTCCCACTTTCTGTGCTGGTCTTTCCAGGTCCCTCTCTGCGTCCAACTCTGAATCAGTGTCTCTCTCTGTCTTACTTCCTAGCTCTCTCTGTCTATTGGTATTTCATATGTATATCTGTGTGGATTTCTCTCCCCCTCCCTCTTTCTCTCCCTCCATCCACGCCCCCCAATTCTGCCGCCACCACCAGCCCCCACTCTAATTGCTTGTTCTCTGGCTGGGCTGTCATTAAGAAGTATTTGGGTTACAGTCCCCTGGGACTAAGATCTGAGCTCCCAGGCTCTGTCAACCACAAGGGTCACTCCCCCATGGAATGATCATCCCAGCTGCCCCCTCTCCAGGCTGGGGCCCAGTGGAGGGCTGAGCTCCATGACCCCATTCAGTGTGGCTCTCCCCTCACCCAGATCCCTGTCTTTGTGCTGGGGGAAGGGGTGTCCTCTCAACCAGCTGCTCATTCACATTGAAAAAGTCCTTCCCCGCACCTAACCCAAACATCTCCTGCTTCAATCTTGCATCTCCTCTGTAATGACCTTTCAGAAACTGACTGCCCTTTCTTTTCATGGCTGGCTTTGTGACAAGGAGACACACAAGAGGCATTGAGTCCTGCCTGCAGGGCCAGAGGGTGGGGGTTTGTCAGGGACCCAGCCTGGCCTTCCTCCACACTCTCCCCTGGGCTGGCCAGGGCCCCAGGGAGATGTTGGATGGGGTCTAGGATAGGAAGGGAGGCAGGCAGGCACTGGTAGGTGTGACATGGTTGGGATCTCCTCAGAAAGGCAGGAGAGCATAGGTGTGTGGGTGCCATTGTATACGGGCATGAGATTGTGCAAGCATGGGTGTGACTCTATATGGACCAGGGAATGGCTGAGCTTGTGATTTGTGGATGTGTCAGTGTGTGCCAAGTATTTGGACTCCGACGGAGGACCAGATGCTGTTGTTTGGTGTGTGGCTGGGAGTCCATGTGAGTTGGCGTCCTGGGTCCTGGCAGTGAGCAGGTGATGCAGGTGAGTCTGTGACTGTAATAGATCAGACTCCAGATGGGGGAATGTGGTTATACGTGAGAGTATGGCCAAGTCGGCGAGTAGGTGACTGGTTGTGAATGCTGACAGGGTTGTGTGGATACCAGTGGAAGCATGCGCTGGAGCTGCAAGGCGTAGGAGGGTGACAAAGGCTGTGACCCTGTGGCGGATGGCTGCTGGGGTTGCCTGGGGCGTGGGCACCGGTGTTTAACATTCCTGGTGTCCCAGAGGGCTTATATTCTGAATGGATGCTTGAGATTGCACGACTGTGTGGGAATGGGACATGGGCCAATTTGGGATAATCCGCGTGAGCAGGCACCTCCCTGGACTCCAGAGAAAGTGAGAAAGTGTAGGACGGTGTCTGCGTGTGTGTATGTGTGTGTGTGTGTGTGTGTGTGTGTGTGTTGGGGGGCTGAGTTCACATTAGGGAGGGATTTTCAGAAGGGCCTAGCCCAGCCTCTCTCAGACCAGAGATGCCACTTGAGGGACAGACCTTCCCAAACCCCTGGGCGCCCCCAACCCAGAACCCTGCGGGGCGGAGCGCGGCATCCAGCCAGAAGCGCGCAGCTGGGCGTGCGTCAGCGCTGACTCACTCGTCCGGCGGCCCCCTGGACCCCTTGAGGCCCCTGAGAAATTCCTCAAGAAAAACACCCGCGGGTCGCTCAGCTGGGGGCAGCGACTTCCACTTCCGCCCCCGCCCGCGCTCCGCCCCGCCCCGCCCCGCGCCCCGCCCCGCCTCGCCCCTCACCGCAGCCCTCCCGAGGCCCTGTCCATGGTGCTGATCGCGGCTCAGGGGAGCGCGGGGTGGGGGGAGGGGAGAGAAGTAGGGGCAGAGGAGGTGGGGGCGCGCCAGTTGGAGGCAGAGGAGGGAGAGGAAGAATAGGACGAAGCCATTAGGGGAGATGTAAAGGAAACTGAATCCCCGATTAGCCCCCTCCCATACTCGTCCCCACTCACCATCACCCCCAGAAACATCCACTCACGTCGTCCTGGGCCATTATTTACATCCCCAAATCACAACCGAACCCCTCTTCGGGTCACCCAAAGACAATCACACACGTAACACACGATTATTCTCTAAGTCAGCCCCACACAGACACACCCACAACTCACAATCACACACTTGGCCAGGGATCACCCATCACACGTATTCATACAATAATCGTCAACTCCCACACCCAATTTCCCACACACAAATTCACTTCAAATGGCCTCACACACATTGCTACACACACACCTATAAATTGCATTCATTCCAACGCATCCACCAGTAAAACTCGGTCACACGTTTCCCCCCTCCCCCCAGCTGTCACACCCACAAATCGCCCAGAGTCGGATACGCGCCGGAACACAGCACCCCAGCCACGCGCAACACTCACGCCCCCCTCGCACGCCCCCCATTCCTGACTCCACCCCATTTTGGGGGACCTCGCTAGATCCTGCACTCCTGATCCTATGCCTATCTCCTCCTTTCCGGCTCACCGGCCTGAGTCCGGAGCAGAAGCTGCAGCAAAGCCAGGAGCAGGCAGAGGCCCGCCCGCGGCTGGCCCAGGCCTCGGCGACTCCCCATCCCGGCGGGGCCCAACACGCAAGGCGGGGACCGGCCGGGGCGTCTACGGGGCGCGGCGACTCCTCAGGCTCCGTGCACTCACTCGCCGCGGCCGGCTTCACTCGGGATCCGCAGGAGACTGCAGGAGACCCCGCCCTGGCCTCGCCCTGCGCTCCAGAGCCCGGCCGGGCGGGGCTCGCTGGAGGGAGGGGGGGAGAGGGTGGCTGACAGCTGGTGGAGGAGTTGGGAAAGTTTGTGCTGAGTGCTGATTGGCCGGCTAGGGCTGGAGCCCTGGGCCGGGAGCGGGGCCCTTCTTGCCCCACCCCACAGTGGAGGAAAAGGGTCACTCCCACCCAGCCTTAGAATTCGGGGTCCCAGACTTACCCCAAACCCTTTCTTCCTAACAGCCTCCCTCAAAAGAGATCTTAGCCTCATTCAAACCTTCAGCCTCCATCCAGGCCCTGGAATTAAGGCTTTATACAGCTTTATACCAAATCTTTTCTGTCTCACCAAGATCCCCAGTTGGGGTCTCAGCCTAGATGCCAAATTTTCACCCACTTGCTTTACCGCAGTGGCTTAGCCACACAATGGAAGGTACCAGCTTCATCCCAGGCCTTCCCTTCGGGTCTCTAAATAAAGAATCCTCATCCCACCTCCAACCTCCCACCAGATTACAAAATGGCCTTCCCAGCCTTACCCCAAACCCTCATTTCTCCACCCAAATTCCGGAATTGGATGTCCTGACCTCACCCCCAAACCTTTGACACAGATTCCAAAACACAGTTCTCAATTTCCCCCAAATTCTTAATCTTCAAATTTCCATCTGTAGCCCTGATTCAGGTCCCCAAATGGATGCCCTAGCCCCAATTCCAAATCTTCACATATGCCCCACCTTTAAATGGGGAAGTCTGGCCCTACTTCAAAGCAGCGAACTGCCTTAGGGAGAGGTGGATACCTGCCATTCCTGGGGTGAGGTAGAGCTACCCCTCACCCTACTGGGACCCCCCACTGTGAAGCTCCCTCCCCCTCAGGGGGTCACATGGAGCTGTCTGTGCAATTGAACAAGCACAGACTTGCGGGATCTGAGGGAGCTTCTGCAGGGAGGAACCTAACGGGCGTATCCTGGGCCCTGAACTGCCCCATCATGGGGAAGAGGGAGAAGCCGGCAGCGTCACCCTCCCAGCCTCTGGCTCCACGGACAAAGAGTGTCTGTGTCCCTGGGGAAGAGGGGTGGGGCCCCATCTGGCCTGAGGGTGAAATGGGGGCTGTGGGGTGGGGAGAAGAGAGGGAATCTCCCCAAGCTGCTCCTCCTCCCTCCTCAGGGACCTCAGAGGCTAAGACTTCTGCTAAAAGATTCTCATAAAGAGAGTGCCCTGCCCTGCCTTGCTGGGAAGTTCTTCCTAGTCTACCCCCATCATTTGACATATCTATGCCCATTCTCCTCTTTGAAAGGACCCTTCTGGGATCACACTCTCTGTCACTTTCTTGCACTCCCTCCCTCCCACCAGAGATTCTTTGCCCAGATTAGACAGGGAGAGAATGCCCCTGCTAATTCCCCCAGCCCTGAATGATTTACAGTCACAATAAAAAGACCCTAGTTGTGAGTGTAGCAGTGAGAAGAAATTTTTAACAAATAAAGGAAAGAGGCTATTTTGAGATGAAAAGATTACCCCCTCCCCTAGCTGCCTGCCCAGGGTCAGTTCAGAACTGGTGTCTTCTGGGGCCCCTTCACCTTGCAGGGGATTGGTGGGAGGGTGTCCAGGAGGTGGGGGGATGAGGCAAGGATGGGTGGCAGGAGGCAGGTGCTGGCCAGCAGAGGTCACCCATCCAGGGAGTGATCAACATGGCCGACGCACCCCGGACTGTACTGATCTCAGGCTGCTCCTCGGGAATTGGCCTGGAGCTCGCAGTGCAGCTGGCTCATGACCACAGGCAGCGCTACCAAGGTTAGAGGCTCCAGGGTGGGGCCAGGAGGGGTAGGGGTGGGCATGGCTTCTGAGGACCTTCAGCCCTCTTGGCACCATTTCCACTAGCCCATCCCATCAGCTGTATGTGTGGGCTTGAGGAGGACCCAGGACACATGGAGGCCCCCTTCCCACCTCTGCTCATGAATCATTCCCTCATCCAACAAATATTTCTTGTGCACCTACTGGGTGCCAGGCACCATTCTAGGTGCTGGAAACACAGCTGTGAACAAAACAGACAAAAATCTCTGCCCTCAGCTGTGGTGTAGTGAGGGAGGGGAGCGAGGACAGACAATAAACAGATTTTTTAAATTGTATAATATGTCTAGTGCTAATAAGTGCTAAGAAGCAAAGTAAAGTAAGGATGGGGTACGGTAGGAGGTGGGGGGTAGGTGATATTTTTTAAAGGGCTGGTAGGAAGGGCTTCCCTAAGGTTCCACTTAGGCATTCCCTAGGACTCCCCTCCCCCACCCCTCCCCAGATTACTGCTCCAAGATAAACCTCTTAAGTGACCCTGACCTTGGGGGTTTAAGGGGGACCTCTAAATCTAGGGACTCAGCCTCCTGCAACTCTGGAGTAAATTGCCTCAGTCTGCACTCCACCCACGGGAACCTCTGACCCAGAGCAGGCTGGAGCTGAAGTGGGCAAAAGGCCGCTACTTAAGAGGAGGTTGCAGGGGGCAAGGGCATTGCCCCAGTTGGCAGAGCTGCTTCTCCCAGCCCTCTGCCCTCTGTCTTAGAGACACACACAGCTTTAGATGTGACAGACTGAGTGCCAGTGTGCAGGGAAGCAGTTGTGCTGTGTGTATCCCTGTGGACAGGCAGATGAGTGAATAAAGCTGAAGGATGTTTATTGTGTGCTTACAATGTGCCAGGTTCTGATCTAAGTGTTGTGCATCTAGTAAGTCTTTTCATTCTCATATCACCCCTATGAGGTGGCCACCAACGTTAGCGCCATCTTAGAAATGAGGGAACGGAGGCACAGAATGCCAAAGGTCCTTCCCCAAAGTCGCCCCGTCAGAAAGTGGCAGAGCCTGGATTTGGACCCAGGCAACCCAACCCTTGGGGCCACACTTGTCACATGTATGTATGCATGTGGTCCCATTCATCTGTGCAACACCCATGAATCACAAAGGCCCACAGACCGTATGAACGTGTGCCCCGGGGCTGTGCATGTATAATTGTGGGTACATGCATGAAGGGTACAAACATGGATACATGGGTTTGAGCTCAGCACTCCCAACAAATCCAGGTTCAAATCTCAGTTCTAACACTTACTAGTGGTGGGACAGACAAGGAACTTCATTTTGCTTAGCCTCAATGTGTTAATCTCTATGATACAGATAATAACTTTACCTACTTATTCTGGCTACTATTGCTAAAGAACAAATCATTCCAAAATTTCTGGTGTAATAGAACAACGGCAATCAACTATCTCTCATGGTTTACAAAAGTCATAAATTTGGAAGGGCACAGCTAGACAGTTCTCACTCAGAGTCAAAGGCTACAACTAGAACAGTTGGGGGCTAGTCCAAGGCCTGGGCAGGCATCTCTCCTCCTTCTAATAATCTCAGGTCTTCTCCATGTGGTCCCTCTATCTGGCTAGCTTGGGCTTCCCCCCAGCATGGTGGATTCAGGATAGCTGGGCTACTACGAGGTGGTTGAGGATTTTAAGAGTGAACATTACAAGGGTGCCTGGGTGGCTCAGTCAACTGAGCATCCGACTCTTGATTTTGGCTCACATCATGGTCTCAGGGTCGTGAGATCGAGGCCCACATCAGGCTCCACATTCAGAGTGAAGTCAGCTTGGGATTCTCTCTCGCCCTCTCCCTCTGCCCCTCCCCCCACTCCTGTTCTCTCTCTCTCTCTCTCAAATAAATAAATAAGTAAAATCTTAAAAAAAAGAAAAAGAGTGAACATTACAGCAAACAAGGCAGAAACTACAATACCTTTTCCGACCTAATCCCAGAAGCCACACAATGTTACTTTCACCATATTCTATTAATTCCCAGCTAGTCACAAGATTCAAAGAGAGGAAAATGAGATTTCATGTCTTGAGGGGGAGCAGCAAAGTTCTCAAAGAGCATATGTGATGAAAGATGTTGTGGCCATCTTTGGAAAATAAGTCCGTTGCCTAATCATAGGGTTCTCATGAGGATTAGAGACAGTGCTTATAAAGGTGTTTAGCACAGTGTTTGGCACATAGTAGATATTCAATAAATTGACATTTCTGTGGATGATGTAAATGTGGCTATTTGTATTTGCATGTACGCACAATGCACACATATTGACCCTAAGTAAGTATGCATTTCTTTTCTTAAGGCAATATGTTCTATATTTATTTTAGTGCCTTACTCACTGGACTATAAATTCCATGAAGGCAGGGACTTTGCCTATCTTATTTCATGCAGTAGTCTCAGCACCTAGAATAAGGCATAGTGTATACTAAGTACATGCTCAGTAAATGTTGGATGGAGGGATGGAGGGATGGAGGGATGGATGAAAGTACATGTAAATGTATGTACACAATATCCATTTGTGGTTGTGTAGTGAACGTAGGTGTGTAAACCTTGGTTCTCCATCCCTCTGTGACTGCTCATGCAAGATCATGGAGATATGTAAGTGAATGCTCAGGGGAAATGAACCCAGTGCTTGCCCCAACTCTTTTTTCTGTCCCCAGTGGTGGCCACCATGAGGGACCTGGGAAAGAAGGGGACACTGGAGGAAGCTGCTGGGGATGCTCTGGGGCAGACCCTCACCGTGGCCCAGCTGGACGTGTGCAGTGACGAGTCAGTGGCCCAGTGTCTCAGCTGCATCCAGGGAGGGGAAGTGGATGTGCTGGGTGAGACTGAACAGCCCCTGGGGTCACTCCCCCCTTCCCTGACCTAAGCTCAGATCCTCCTCACAGTGAATCCTCTCCAGGGTCTGAGCACCAGCCTTCTTGCTTCACCAGCAACTGCTAGCCCTGGACAGAAGGGATAGACAAGCTGGCTAAAAGCCCAGGGTACCAGTTTATTAGGGTTACAAGAAATAAACTGAGTCCTGGGAGTGGATTTTATTGAATAGAACATCTCACATTTGGGGAAAACCATATTTAGTTGGAAAAGTTACTTTGATGAGTCATTTGGGGAAGGGACATGATGAAGAAGCAACACATGAT